AGGCTTCACTGTTGTTGTCCGATCTCCATCTCCAGGACAAGTTTTGTTAATTTGTTCACCACAAAGATCAACATTTCCTTCAAAACTAGAGGCATCATAGGTTTCAAAATGTCTCCCGGTTGGGATTCTTCCAGAAAGAGAGTTGTGGGACAAGTCTAGTTTGCCTAGACCATCAATTTCGGAAAGAGAAGAAGGAATTCTCCCACTGAAGTGATTTCTTGACAAGTCAAGGTAATCTAGTGAACTTAAATTCCCAATCTCTGAAGGTATTTCTCCACTCAAATTGTTTCTTGCTAAGTTCAAAGAAACTAATCCAAGCAAATATCCTATCTCTTTTGGTATTTCACCTGTTAAATTATTGCATGACAGATCAATGCTCTTAAGATTCAATTCAGGATTTCTGAACCCCTGTTCAACACCTTTCCACATCCATGTTATCTCAAACGTATAATCATCCAAACTCACACGACCATAAACTTCATAGTAACTACTATTGATCCAATGTACACGTTGCATAGTGTCACTTCTGTTGATGCTATTTTCAGCCATTGCGGTAAAATTCTTTAAGCATGTTGGAATTCCTCCCGACATGTAATTCCTTGAAAGATCCAACAATTGAATATGTTTCAAATAACAAAGATGAATAGGAAGATTAAGTTCCTTTAAAGAGAAGGATATAAGAGGGTTGTTGAATCAAGAGAGTTTTTTTTTGAAGAGTTCTTCTCTTGAGCAACAACCTCTAGGGAGGGAACTCCTTTCTCCCCAGATTTCTCTCTATCCTTAGGTTTCACATACTGTTTTTTTCTCACTCTTTTCCTCTTTTTTTTTAAACCTTTTCTCACTATCTCTTTTGTTCTCTTTATCACACATGCACAACGAAAGACATTAAAAGGGGATTGGTCCGACATTCACGGGCTCTCAGCTTCCTACATTAGTTCCCACACTATTTTTCCACCTTCAAGAGAAAAAACATCCTAACATTCTCTTCCTAAAAACGTGGCTTTTGTGCTACTTGCAAAATTCTAGAGAAAAAAAAGGATCAATATGTTTCAATTATTTTTCTTATTGTTATTTTGTATTTCTTCTCTATTAAGTGTGCCTCTTGTGTTGTTAATAATATAATCAATTTCTAATGGAGAGGGGTAGAACATAGTTAGGATTTAGGTCCTTTCCAAAAATTTATGCATATGATAGACGCGTATCTTTATTTTCTCATAAAGAAAAAATATATCATTTTTTTTTCATAAGTACATGCTCTTTTCAAAGGTGTCTCTATGCTTATCATAAGATGTGAAAGAGTTTTCCATAATGATGTCTAGTGTCAAATTTCAACAATTTATGTGATCGTTGAGTGGTTATGGAAGTGATAAGGAAGGATGGAGGGTGGTTTTGTTTATTGAGGTGTGAGAGATTAATTAGGAATGGTATGTTGTTTAAAAGTAATCAGGTAATAAATTTGTTGGATATTGTAAATTCAATAAAAATTAAAAGATTGGAGTTGGTAAACGGTGAGAAGGAAAGGGTTCATTTACTCAATTAGTTCTTGAACCTTGATTCCATTGGCTTGCTATAATAGGTTAAATGGGTTTGTTAAGGGTGAAAGGGTGATCGGTGAGTGTTGACATGGTTGTGGTAATATGCATATACTACAATTGTAGGGTCTTTTGATTTTTGAAAAAATGTAAAAGGACTTGAATTTATATCATTAGTTAACACATTTGTGAGTCTTTCATGCATTTTAGGCATGTCTTTGATGGTATTGGAATATACGGTTTAACTCTCTTACATATTTAAGGCATGCTTCAACCCTTTTCTCTTATGGTGTATTTGGATGAAAAATTTTACAAATTTAAGGAATTTTAAATCTTGGTATTTGAATTACTTTGATTTTAATTTTTATCATTTTTAAAATATTTTGTTTAGATAAGTCAATTCAAATTTCTCAAATTTTAAATTGTTGGGTTAGATATGATAATTTGATTCTACCATGGTAAAATTAATTTTAAAAATATATTTATATGTTGAGATTTGTAAATCAATTTTTATAAAAATAAATATTAGCTAATTTTTAAATATTTAATAATTTTAAAAATTAATATTAGATAATATTTAATAATTTTAATTTTTTTTTTTGTCCTCCAACTTTGGACTTTGATGAAATTCCTTAAGTTGATGCCCATTCACTTTGAAGGTTTTGCCGGTAACTTCATTTTTAATTTCTACTGCACCATGGGAAAACACATTAGTAATAACAAAAGGACCATCCCACCTTGATCTAAGTTTACCGGCAATGAGCTTTAGGCGAGAATTGAACAATAATACTTGTTGGCCCACTTTAAACTCCTTTCTTAAAAGATGACTATCATGAAAGCGCTTGACTTTCTCTTTATAAATCTTGGAGTTTTCATAGGCTTCCAACCGAAGCTCCTCAAGTTGCTGCAACTGAAGCTTCCTTTGCATACCAGCTTGGTCAAATGCCAAGTTACAATTCTTCACTGCCCAATATGCTCTATGCTCAACCTCAACAGGTAGATGACATGCTTTACCAAACACAATCCTATAAGGAGACATCCCAATAGGTGTCCGGTAAGCTGTCCTATGTGCCCACAGAGCATCCTTCAAAAGCTTGCTCCAATCCTTCCTATTGGGGTGCACTATTTTCTACAAAATTTGCTTGATTTCCCTGTTAAAAACTTCAGCTTGCCCATTAGTTTGAGGATGATAAGCTGTAGACACTCTATGCACCACCCCATACTTATGAAGCAAAGCTTGCATGCTCCTATTACAGAAATTAGTTTTAGAAACCAAAAATTCTGTCACTAAATTTAGTTCTAAATTTTTCACAAAAATTTTCAGAATTAACTTTGTTCCTTCTTGCTCCAATTCAGCCACCAAGTTGCAGCCTCACAAGTGTTTTCACTCCTCTTTATAATCAACTTTTACTTTAGTCACTTCTAGGGGTTTTTCAAGAGCCTAGCCACCAAGAGAGAACAAACTCCCTAAGCAACCACCAAAGCCTTCAAGTGGATGTCCTTTGCCTTGGCCTCCTACACCTTTTAAGAAGCACTCAACCACCTTCAAGACTGGAATATTAGTGTAAAACTGAAAAGGAACAATTTATAAAAGATACACCAATTGGTGGAAGACAAATGAGACAAGACTAGAAAGAGTTCCACAAAATTGACAAGCAAAAATTAAGGCAAATTTAGAAAGTTAGCACACAAAGATTAACCTAGGAAAGGCACTAGAATGGATTACCAAATCAAAAGCTAAGATTATAAACAAAAATAAGACACCAATGATGTGGCTGGACTAACAAAATATGTAAGCAAACACACACCAAAACTGAGAGCAATGTTTACTAGATTTTTCACTCCTTTGGCTTTTTTCTTTTGCTATTTTCTTTCTTTTTCTTTTGCAAAATATTTTTCACTTGTTTTTCTTTTAATGTTCAGGAGTTTTAATGCCTTTTGAACAATTATATGTCTCGGTTTTAATGTAAAAATACTGCAGCAAAAATTTCACGCAAAACAAGAGGTTTTCACATGCAACAATAAACTAGTGCTTCACAATTTTGTGCTATTTAATGTCAAATTTTTAAGCACTTTTTCTTTTGCTTTTCTAATGCTTTTCACACACTTAAACCTCTGTTTTGCCTCTGTTTTAAGGTTCAAAAAATTGCAATAGGTTTCAGCCACACAACAAGACACAAAGAAACCTAATAGGAAAGTGTTTATGAACTTTTCTTGACAAAACTTTTAATATGACATAATAGAAACCTAACTCTAGGAAATTTGCTAGAACTAATAGAAAATTAAGAACTCAAACATGTGAAATAAAAGCACATATAGTAAGGTACAGATTCAATAAGCAAACACACAAAAAATTTTGGCACAACAACACAAAACAAAAATTAGGTTAAACAAGCTAGTCTAGGAAGATTCAACATACAAAGTACTACACATTACTTTCTAAGACAAAACAAATGATTCAAAAACAAAATCTATGCTCAATGAATGTTGTCCAATCATGGACACATGTTATAGAATGGAGAAGACTCAAGCAAAAATAAAAAACGCACAAGTATAGGAATAACCTAGGCGCACAACAACAATTGATTCAAGTAGAATTAGAAACAAGCAAACATGAATCAATTACTTCATACTTGACATATAGGATCCATCAAACAATGTATTAAAACTAGATCCAAACAGCAAACACAAGTTTAAGACATAGAAAAGGAAGATACAAGATGGATTCAATGAACAAAGTTAGAACACATAACCTCAAGAGCACTAGGCTCTAGATACCAAAAATGATGGAGCTAGGTTGAAGAAGATTTAGGTTCTTCAATAGTTCCATGCTTAGGACCATGAACTCTTGAGGTATTCTTAGAGACTTTGAAGCTCCACGAAGAAACCTTCCATGGAGGAGAAGTCTTCAAGGTGATTCGGTTACTCCTAGCTTTGTGTAGAAGCTTGAGGAACCAAAGTCAAGGTTGAAAACCTTGGATAGGAAACCTAGGAGAGAATTCTCTACGGTTTGGTGACTCTTGAGTGAGAGAAAATCTGATTTCATTTCTCAAATTGTTCAAAAGTGAGTACAAGCGAAGGAATTACAAATATAGGGAGAGGTAGCTTCTAGGAGAAGCTAACCTTAACCATGGTTCACTAGGAACCATGGTAAGGTAAGCCTTAACCTCCATGGTTTAGATAACTTGTAGGAGAAGCTAACCTTGACCACGGTTCACTTAAGAACCATGGTAACGTAGGCTTAACCTTCCATGGTTTAGAAGCTTGCAAGGCAAGCTTCAAAAACCAAGAGGAGAAGCTTGGAAATCCGGCCAAAGGAGAAGCATTTGGACTAGGCGACCTTGGTCTCAAATGGCTCCATGATTTAATTTGAAAATCTTTGATTTGGTTTAGTTAGGTTCATCAAATGATGATGAAACCTAGCTAAATCAAATCTATGAAAAATTAGGAGCAAAATGAGTCCAATATGCAAAATTTTGCCTAGGCCCAACTCAGGCCCAATTTCTAAGCACACTCCCTAGCTTTGCTAAATGTCACCCCCTTTTCCCTACTGAAAAAATACAAAATGACTGTATCAACTAGGGAGGTTAAATGGAGTTAAACTCTCCAAATAACCTACCTCAAAATCAATATACAAACACTAAGAAAAGTAAGTAAAGTGCCTCACAAGTACAAAGGCAAAAAAATAACCTATACAAAAGACTATGTATAAACTGTACGATATAAACAAGTAGAACTAGGCCTTCTCTTCATGATAGAGCATTCCAAGTGAAGATTACCTTGGGCTTGACAAGCCCACTAGTCTTCACAAGGTCCAACTCTTTTTGTATTCTTCTAGCCATAGCTCTAGTCACTAGGCCTTTGGCCCATGGTCTATCACTCATACAACCTCACACAGAGACCCTAGTCGGTTTTGCAGGAAAGAGAGTTCACACTCGGGGGTACGTGGACCTACTGACAACTTTCAGAACACCTCCAGACACGGGGCGGGTCATGGTTCGGTACCTCCTTGTGGAAGCCAATACTTCCTACAACATAATCATCGGGAGGCCGACCTTGAATCAACTCGGAGCACTAGTGTCCACCCCACACCTCACCATGAAATTCCCAGGGAATGATGGGAAGATTATCTCTGTCAAGGCGAACCAGAAGACGGCACGACAATGCTACACTAAAAGCTTGAAGATCGCCTCACCCGGTGAAAAATGCAAGAGTGACCCCCCACCGTGGCCCACGGCACCCACGTGGAAATCACCGATCTCGATCTGAGATCAGACTCTCATGACGAAAGGCCAAGTCCCATTGACGAGCTTGACGACCTCCAGATCGAAAAACTTCCCGGACAGAACATGAAGATCAGTAGGCAGTTAAGCCCGAACTTGCGGCAACAGCTCGAAGCTGAAATTCTCCATAATTCCAACCTCTTTGCTTGGTCTAGCGCTGACATGCCGGGCACCGACACTGACTTCATATGTCATAAGTTAGCAATACACAAGGAGGAAAAACCAATCGCCCAGAGGAAGAGGAAGGTCGGCGGCGAAAGGTGGGAGGCCATCATCACCGAAACACAGAAACTATTGAATGCTGGCTTCATCTGTGAGGTCAGGTACACCACATGGATGGCGAACGTGGTCCTGGTAAAAAAGAGCTCGGGGAAGTGGCGCATGTGCGTTGACTACACCGACTTGAACAAAGCATGCCCCAAGGACTCATACCCCTTGCCGAGCATTGACAAGTTGGTCGATGGAGCCTCTGGACACACCCTCCTCAGTTTCCTCAATGCGTACTCCGGGTACAACCAGATAATGATGTACCCACCTGACGAAGTGCACACGTCCTTCATCACCGACCACACCAACTATTACTACCGGGTGATGCCCTTCGGCCTAAAAAATGCAGGCGTAACCTACCAATGGCTGATGGATAAGGTCTTCCACCAACAGATCGGGAGGAACATGGAAGTCTACGTCGACGACATGGTAGTCAAGACCACCTCGATGACAGACCATGCTGCCGACCTCGCCGAAGTATTTGCCCAGGTTAGGAAGCACAACATGCGCCTCAACCCGGAGAAGTGTGTCTTCGGCATCCCGGGAGGCAAGTTCCTCGGTTTCATGATCACCAGCAGAGGAATTAAGGCTAATCCCGAGAAGTGTAAAGCAATCATCCAGATGCAGAGCCCATAAACGGTGAAAGAGGTCCAGCGCCTAGCTGGACGGTTGGTCTCACTATCCCATTTCATCCCCAAACTCGCAGAGAAGGCAGGGCCCATTTTCACCCTACTGCGAAAGTCCAAAAATTTCCAGTGGACGGATCAGTGAGAAGAAGCTTTCCAAAGCTTCAAAACCTTCCTTACAACCCTGTCGATCCTACAGAGGCCGGATCATAAAACTGACCTCCTCCTTTACTTGGCCGTAGCAGAAGGCCCTATTAGCGTGGTGATAGTACAAGAGCACCAGAAAGTGCAGACACCAATCTACTTCATCAGTCGAGTCCTCCAAGCTGCAGAGAAGCGATACCAGATGATGGAGAAGCTGGGACTAGCACTTGTCACCGCAGCTCGGCGTCTCCGACCCTACTTCCAGAGTCACCAGGTGGTAGTCAAAACTGACTACCCTATCAAGCAAATTCTGCGAAAGCCCGAGCTCGTCGGACTGATGATTGCGTGGTAAGTAGAATTGTTTGAGTTCGGCATCCAGTATGAAAGTCGCGGATCCCTGAAAGCTCAATGCCTAACCGACTTCGTAGCCGAGCTCACGCCTATTACTGCCGAGGAACCTCAGGTATGGACTTTACATGTTGACGGATCCTCCAACTCTACCGGTGGTGGTGCAGGCATCATATTGGAAGGACCAAACCGAGTCATTCTGGAGCAATCCCTCAAGTTTAGCTTCAAAGTGACCAACAACCAGGCTGAGTACGAGACACTTCTTGCGGGACTAAGGCTAGCCCGCGACCTCAGAGCTCGAAAGGTGAGTTGTAACAGCGACTCAAAACTCATGGTGGAGCAGCTCAGTAGGACGTACCAGGCAAAGGACA